CAGGGCCGATGTCATTATCGACATCTGGGAGACACTGTTCCCAAGGTGACGAACTGCGTCAACCTTAATTTGCCTAATGTAAGGGCCGATGTCATTACCGACATCTGGAAGACACTGTCCCCAAGGTGACGAACTGCGTCAACCTTAATTTGCCTAATGTAAGGGCCAATGTCATCACCAATATCTGGGACTATACTGTCCTCAAGGTAAAAACTACGAGTACCTTAGTTTATTCTATTTTTGGTCCAATTTTATTACCGAAATCTGGTGATGAGTCACTTCCATTAATATCACGACCTTGTAGGTACTTTCATGCCAATCCACGTCCATCAAATGGCATCGCCCTTGATGACATGGTATTTCACCAACAATGTCTTGACCGAAAGTCAGTGTGTCACAATCACGAACAACATCACTCAGTGAGTACTAACGTGCTACTTTACGCTCACCATGTGGGAATTAACACATTATGACTTGGATCTAGGCCAACAATGCATTCAGCATTCAGTAGTTCACTATCACCACGATTATCACTCAAAGGAGTACGTGCCTTCTCACTGTTAGTCAACGTGCTTGTCTCGCAACTAATATTTTAAAATCGTCCAACTCAATGAGTTCAGCCGTACCGATTGACAGCACACTGACTGTCTCAACCCGTGGCCCACACCAATAGCGTTCCGACTTCTTAGATGAGGTGGGCTCATGACTTTCCAAAGCTTTACTTAAGAACAGTGCACGTTGCACTTAAGGTCTTTGACCTCCAACCAATCCATGACTACTGGCTTTTAGCCAAGCCATACCAAGAATGAGATCATGCCTCTCATCCAAGTAAAAGACTAGACAGGGTTCAAAAATTCTCAATGTCCGAAAACTTCACGCCTGAGTTCACAAAAACTTTGGGCACAGTGACTTATGCACTCGTCGCCAAGCGAACAGTGATATTCTCAAACTTTCGCTCTTTCTAGCGCCTCAGAATACTGCTGACTACCTCCCAAGGAACAATGTCGAACCTAATTTACAGATTCCCCGAAGTCGATCAATATCTACCATGGCTTATCGAAGCACTTCACCGTTGATTTGCAATCAACTTGCCTGATTTAAACTCATGATTCACGACATTGCTCACGGAGCCATTTGGGGCTAGGCCCTGTTCTCCATCACCTCCCAGAGGTACAACAGAGCCTAAATCGTCCCCGACAGGGCGCCCCGCAACTACTGGGACTCGAAGTTTCCCGCGCCTTACCAATTTGTTGATTAGCTACGGTAGGTCGGCTCGATTGGACTATCTGGTATCTCTCAAAGGACAATCGGGGCTAAGGTGCTTGGTGCTTCCGCACGTTTAACTTTGGCGGATGTCCGAACGCTGTTCGACAGCGTAAAGATCAGATTCTTTGTCACTCTCAGCGAGACTAAGATACAAAAGGTTCTGCCCCCTAGCGTGATAATGAGCATTGCTCGACGAGTTCGATCAGAATCCACAATTTCCATTACAGGCAGGTTTGAAGCTGAACTATGCAATCAACTCTATATCCACAGCACCCTCAAACGTCAAGGGTTGTGTAAAAACACTTTTGTTCTGGCAACGCCAGTGCAAAATACCGTACATCAAGTTAGATACTTGAACCGTTTAAAAAACGTGCTGCATAGAAGAGGTAAGAGTTAGCAACTCCTGGACATAATCGACTAAGTCCTTTGTACTCTGGCGGGTCAACAAGAAGCGTGATCGCACGCGATGTGACTAGTTAGGCGGGGCAAGCCCCAGAGATCGCTGCTGTTTTAGCAGGTGGGAAAAGCCTCGTCTATCGAGGTGCCAGAGGTGAAATTTTACTCCCTGGCTCGGCCTCTTAGCTTTGACAGGTCCAAGTTCGCCTTTTGACGCTCTGACCGCAGCAGGGCCAAGATGATGGCAACCTCCATCAATCGAACCCTCAAAAGGATATGTTTATCCTTCTTTTCCCCCGAAAGTCTTGACACCTAAGGCTAGAGGATGAGTCCTCGACTCAGTGTCTGGCATTCGAACATACCGAGTGGGAAGGCAGATGCCAAATATAATGGACCTGTCCCATTTAACGTGTACTCAACGTTCGAGAAGGCCTCGAGATGTTTACGAAGTCCGTCCAGACCTTGCGCCATTATAAGAGCCACTTGCTCGTGCCCGATCAACGCTCTAATCTTCTCAAGCGTGATCTGATGGGCCTTAGAGAGGTCCACGGCCCTTTTCATCCTCGCAGAGTATTCAGTCTGTGAAGACTAAGGTGTAAATTGACTACTAGTGCTGCCAAATGCAGCAGATCTACTTAGCGCTCCTTAACCGAAAAGTTTTATAACTATAGAGTCTCTTAGTCATAAAAAACTGGCTACGACGTAGTTTCGTTCAAGCGTACAAGCTTTACAATTTCGGTTCCAAAGGGATAACGATTTACGGATCACATCCTATCGAGTCACTACTAGTTATACTACAGTAAACGTCTTAACAAGGCTAATGCTCGTGCAACACACTACGCCTTGACTAGGCACCTGTGTCCAACGATTTAAAAGGGGAACTGAACTTTATTTATTATCTTACTACGGTGATAAAACCATGTCTTACTGACTTCTGCATTGCGATCCTGTGACAGAAGTCTTGTCCCTACCCGATAAGGTGCGGTATTACCGTTATTAAAAGGTATAAGACTGTACCACTCAGATCCACTGATCTTTATTTGGTGTAGACACACACGTAACTGGTTTGATAACCGCGTGTGATACCATGACAAATTGCGCATAGCACACATGAAACACGTATGTGAATAGCGCTTCTTAAGACAATTAACAGCAAAAACGGAGAGTAAAGCAGAAAACGACCCGGTAGCAGTTGTTTAGGGTCTGCAGACAAAGCATTTACGCTGAAAAGTATAAGCGGGTACCGTGGCATCAGGAGTCTTTGTTACTCATTACGTGTGTATCTTGGTTAAGCCTAAAAAGCTCTATACTAATTTCATCACCCCCAAGCCTGTTCTGACTTTATAGACTTTTGCGTGTAGGGAATGTACCCTTATTACAGTGTCAGATGAAGACATCTAGCTCCTGAAGTCTCTTTGTATTCTAAACTAAGCGGGTATTTATTTAAAGGGCCTCAAGGCTTGCAGACTTGATGAGACTTAACTATTAGTGTATGAACAAGCTCTTTATCTTCTAGTCCTAATTCAGGGGACTGCGACTACAAGCAATCACATGACACTGATTCCCTAGAATACTTAGACTTAACTTAGGCCATAACTCTTATGACCAGAGACGTCTAAGAAAGACCCGTATCTTAAAGTGATCAAAAGGGGAACTGTATATATTAACCGAATTAAAAGTGATAATGGAGCTTGCTTAGGTCGTTAAATTTAAAACTATGCTACCTAAATGAATAGTTTTGTCTACTACTATTTGTGTACAACACCAGAACTACGCTGCCTCTATGAAGGGCATACTACGATAGATTTCCTGTAGCCATAACCGATAGGGTGCGGTATCATCGCTTGGCGTATATCATTCTAAAGTACGCCTTATCAGTGACACGGATCTCTTTCTGTGTGTACCACACCAATGCACCTGGTTATTACAGCCGTTTGTGTAACCCCTTTACATGCGTCAGTGACGAGCTGTGGATGTTGACCACCTTCGCGGCAACTTTTACCAGCTGTTGGAAGAGTAGCGACTAGCAAACCAAATGGTGTAAATAGCACTCCCATTTGACGCCATATTGTAGCTATCGGCTGACGGTGCGATCCAACAACCACAACAAGAATTTTACCCCCGTACGAGTGACGCCACGTCAAGCATGAACACCAGCGTAATGTCGATGACTAAAAACCCACCTTTTCAGTTGCATGCACTGACCGCGTCAAAAGACCACCACTCATTCTCTTTACCGGATCTAGTCGAGCTAGCCGTTAATTGTACAACAAGTACTAAGATCTTTGCTGTGCACATTGCTGTCGCACTTCTTCCCAGCGGCACAAATGCCGACAATGATGTGACCAAGACTTTTGCGTCACCGCCATTCTTAGCGTTCCTAACGAAGAACTGGGCATAATGTATTGCCCCTCCAACCACTGCGTTGGCAAACACCAACACTTTCACTCAACATTGACACCCAAGATGACAGTGTTATCATCGGGGTCACAACAGTTCAGCTAATTCGCAAAGGGTTATAGTGCTTCATGTGCCGCGCATTTGCTCCGCTCAGCGCGAATTGTATCGTTTAATCACATCCGCATGAACGTTGCCAAGCTGCTTTTTGCGTCTTTCAACTTATGTTTGCCGCGTAAAGTGGAGGTCTACGATTATCAGGGTTTTGTAAAAACATGGAACGAAGTGGTGGCGCTAAGCACGTGCGGCTCGCAACATATTCGTCCACCCCATTAATCGCATCATCTGTTAACACGACCCTTTCTGCCACGGGTGGTATACGAAAAGCCAAAGTCCGTAGAGGCGCATTAGTGAGCATCACCTTCTTTGTCATTCAAATTGAGCATAGCACGTGTAAAGACGTGCCGAGCTGAAAGAGATGCAGCCCTCAGGCAAAATCCTGATGTTTCAAAGTGACATCTGTTGCCTTTCACGTCGCAGTAACTGCCGGTCTATATTCGGGTACAATCAGTATCAGATAAGAAACAACGCTTGCCAAATGTCGTTGACGCATCAAACCTGACCACAGAATCGCGGCTGAAATACCAGCAATGCCAGATTTTACTAACCACAATGTCCGTTTCAGCTGGAAAACATCCACCGTGTTAAGACGGTCGTACGTGCCCTTATCGCTTGCAAGCTGAACGCTCTTAAGAACACATGTGCTTGCACCGCCTTTTCCGCGTGTGCACGGTTGCTTAGATAGGCCTTGAGCACGGAAGCATATCTACCTTGTAGCTCATTTAGCAATTGGCGTTGTAGCACATACTTGATCATTTGCTTGCAGACAAAAGTCCTGTTGCGATTATCTCTTTGCAGCACCCAGTCTTCAGTCCGCTACGATGTTCACCAGCAACAAAAGTTTTGCCCTCATTCTCGCGGTATCGGCTTTCTTTGACGGTACATCTGCAAAGAAAGAAGCTGCTGAATTCGGTGGGTTTCCTGGCATGGGTGGCATGGGAGGTGGATTTCCTGGCATGGGCGGCGGCATGGGTGGCATGGGTGGCATGTCCAAGATGATGCCGGGCGGTATGGGAGGTGGACTTCCAGGCATGGGCGGTGGTGGAGGCGGCATGTCCAAGATGATGCCGGGCGGCATGGGAGGTGGATTTCCAGGCATGGGCGGCGGTGGAGGCGGCATGTCCAAGATGATGCCGGGAGCGGGCGGTATGGGAGGTGGGTTTCCAGGCATGGGCGGCGGTGGCGGCGGCATGCCCAAGATGCCGGGGGCGGGTGGCATGGGAGGTGGGTTTCCAGGCATGGGTGGCGGTGGTGGCGGCGGCATGCCCAAGATGCCGGGGGCGGGTGGCATGGGAGGTGGATCTCCAGGCATGGGCGGCGGTGGTGGCGGACTTCCTAGTATGGGTGGCGGTGGTGGCACGGGCGGCATGGGGACCGTAAAGCCAGCGTCTGGAACGAGCGGTACTGGTAGCCCTTATGCTGGTACAAGCGGTACTGGTAGCCCATATGCTGGCACGGGAGGTGCAGGAGCCACCGGTGGTCTTAGCAATCCGATGTCAGGTACCCCCGGTGGAGCAGGACCAGGAACAGTACACCCAAGTCCATCAAGTACTGGAGCTGGGACCCCTGGAGTCCCGGGAAACGGTGCGGCAATGACGAACGGTGTGGCTGGTCAGGGTGCAACTATGCCCAATAGCGCCCCGACAACTGGAGCTGGGAATGCCACGCAGGGTCCTGTTGGAGACGCTTCGAGTTCGAAACCATATCGTCACCTTCGGGCTGAGTAAGGGCGTGCGTTGCAATGGCGCATCGTTTTTATTTGTTTATGAGTAGGTTGGGCAGTCGTTTTGTCAATTTAGATGGAGCGAGTCGATACGTCGTCGTTGCTCATACCAAGTACTTCTAACAGTATCGTAATACGTCTTCTACGTTTATCTCTTTTGAGATTTGTCTGATCAACCACTACGCCTGCTGTGTAATTTGTTTCGTAGCACTTGTCAGGTGTTTTTATGTCATTGAAGACTAGTTAGTTTCGACTTCCTACGTCCGATCTACTGGTGGCCGTTTATCCGCCAGTGAAAATGCCGTCCCTACAGTTGGCATCATAACCTAATGCATTTGCAGTACAATAACGTAACATTCAGCGTCTAATGTCGCGATAGATAGGTCCAGTTCTCTGTCTAACTTGTCCTATCGTATCAAGCACATCCAAGCTGCTTACGGGCGTTTCCGTTCCTTGTGCTCGCAAGCTAGCTCGCATTTTGATGTACTCCCGTAAGTTGTAGGAACATGTGATGGATGATCAATCGCAAGCTGCCTTTCGCGTACTTTTTAGTAAATTGGATCAAGTTCACAGCTCGAATCGATGCCAGGGTAATTGTAGGATACTCGGCTCGCCCATGACTTATGAATTAGAGAATACTAAACTTGGCGCTACCCGCTGCCCTTTTTTTTCTTCCCACACATGTGAGCGCATCTTCCTTATCTCCCTTATTTGCTATCTTTATGCGCGCATTCGCCCATACCCCAGTTCAGTAATGTAAATTCAAATGCAATCGTCGATTCCACCCAGGCGTATATAAATACCAGTATATGAAGTATTGGCTTTAAACGCGTTACCATACGATGCTACAACAATTAGTATTCCCGGGTCGCCATTTCCACTGAATGGTTATCTCGCTGTCATCCTTCATCGTACGGGGTCATGCCTACCGTTTCTGTTAATGCTGGGTAAAGATCCAGTATGTCAGCTGGATTATTAGTCGTAATTATGGCTGCGTATCAAATAGAGCCGACCTGCACAACACGGTAAGAGACAGATGCTCTTTTATACGCGGTAAGTGATCATTCCAGAACCACGTCCAATTTTTAGTCAGTAAGAGACCAACAACATTTGCTCATCGCTTGACGCTATATCTATTGCTTCGTGCATGCTAATCTGTCATTAGCATTTTGGGTGCAGACTGTTCATAACGAGATCACAACGCAAATTGGATGAAAATAGAGGCAATTTCGCCATGTCGCTCATAAGTGCATTCTAACACAACGCTTTGGACGCATCATCTGAAGCTTTCGCAGTGCTTGTTATGCCACAGAGTTGTGCACAGCAACCAAATCCTAAAAATGTTTTACATAGTTCTTGTGTACAGATCAGAGTTTTAAAATGGCGCTTACCGCACTCATCCGTAGGATTAAACCCTTAAGCGTGGGTAGTCTCTGTTACACCGCACAATTTACTAAACTGATTCAACACACCTATTCACGCCCACACATAGTCTTTCGCCCGGTTGTTTATCAGATTGCAATAGTGCACAAAAGCCTCTTACTACGTAATAGATGTAGTTGGAATAAGTCTAGTGCTAAAACTTGCGAAGTCGCGCCCACTCACACTCACTCACTAACTGTCGGTCGCATTATGATCATAATAAACCATGGGCGTGTGTGTGTGCGGACGCCCGATTTGAAAATGTAGTACAGAGGTACGAAATTGTGCATATGGTGCACACAGCTGTGTGGGTCTGAGCACCTATTTGAACATCTTTAAACAAATACTAAAGAACGTGGCTGTTATAATGAGCACCGCGACGCTAACAAGGGCGTGAACCTCTGCGGAAGGTCTGCATACAATGCAAAGTATGGTGCACGGTCGAACAATATTTTTATGCTCATAACGCACAGAAATGTGCATGTTCTCATTTACGATGCGCGTGTATTTTAAGGGAAAATGATTGCCTTCTCTATTATATTCAGACTCAGCCGACTCAATTGGCTAAGCGACTCCAATGCTGCCATGTACAAACGGTGAGTTTCTAGCTTCTAGTCAAAACGAATGCTTGCGAACAAGCATGTTTTGTTTGCGACGTCGACCTTCCGACTTGTACTTATTCATGTGTGGATGCTGCCAAACAAATCAGAAAACTGTCTTGCACATAGCAGTTATGGGTCTTCACACATTAAAGCCATATTTCTAGTCGGCTTTTGATATGCGTAATCAAAAATAAGACCCGCCAAAGGGTCATGTTATTCGCCTCTTTCCTTTCTACTGCTCGGCAGAGCCTCCTGTCTTTATGCTGTGATTTTGTAACGACCATTCGTATCGTAGTCGACCATTCGGATACGAATGGTTGGATGACAAATTTCGGCTCGAAGTTCTAGACGACCACAAAATTGGTGCTATTCGTTACCATCTTTACGAGCTCGAAGCCGTACAATGGTTGAGTGGTGCGTTTGCCAAAAAACACACGAGACGCGTTCAAACTCAATTTGCCTACGGTGTCTAGTCGTCATAATAGTGCTGCTTGCCTATAATGAATTCCATTGCGTTTACTGTCATACGATGTGGATTACCGTAACGCGACAGTTTGTTCCATGCGGCGATTTGTTGACCATCACGTCGCTCAAAAAACAACACGAACACCGTATAAGACGATTTCGATCGTAAAAGGAACAGACTAAACGTACGGTCTTGATTGGATATCCAACTTATCGTAAAAGATGATAATTATTACCCTAATTGTATGGTGTTGTTCAATACACCCTACTGTCTACTAAATGTACCCCATGCACCACACCCACACCACACTACAGTATGGTTTGCTCAACCTATATAGCGCCATCATACCTCTGTACGACCACTAATGTACAACCATCGGATCAATCGTACAAATGGTAAGTGATTTTATTGATCAATCTTCCTTTGACAGGAAACGGTCTGGTCCTAGAGTAGATCACGGATAGGCCCGTTCACATGTACACATAGCTGTACAATAGAATTTTATATTGTAAAAGCTAAATTACGTTGCGATGAATAAATCCGATAATGTACAGTGAAACTTGAGCCTTCGTTTCATTCATTTTTGTGCATTTGTCGACTAAAACCTTGCTGTTTCCATTTGTATAAAAGTTTGGAAAAGCAACCCTGATGTACTTGCAATGTAGTGACGGAGGCGCCATGGTCTTCCGCCAATTTGTTTACAAAGGCACAAGCTTTAATGCGTCCATTGCGAGCTAAAGAAGTTTGCTTTTGAAATAACGTAATATTTTTTATTTTTACAATAAATCCCGATTGTTGTACTGTTGCGGTCATACAGTGGTAATGGTGTCACGCAATACATTTCGTAATAACTATGTTGTACGGTGGTGTGGATTTAGTGTAAGGGGTGCATTTTGTAAGAAGTGGGTAAATTTTACAAAATCGTAATTCGAATTTACAGAATTTAAATTGAAATGTATCCGCATTATGACTGATCCATTACACCATCAGGACCGTAGTCTATCATCTTCATCTCACACAATGTCTTCTCTACCATCATATTACCATATTTTAGATGGCTAGCTTGAACAGTACAGAAAAGCAGCATCCGCGGCATTTAAAGCTGTCAATACCCCCAAACTATATTTGAGCCGTGGGAGAGCTCTTGCCTTTTTCTGGGCCTTTTTTTCAAGAATCTGAAAAAGGCAAAAATAGTGCGATTTCATATGCAAACTATGAAAGGTTTGATGTCATTGTAAATGAAGTACAGAGTAGGGTACGCCGCGCATAGTCAGGACGGAAGTCGTCAGGTGTGCCTAAGGTGTTTTTGCCGCATAAATAAATTTAGCGGGTCTGTGACAGGCTTCGACTCAAGAAGTCGGCTGCCCATTCGAAATTTTCTCATCTGCTAGGAGGACGACGCAGCTCTTTAAGAATGCTTTTTATAACGGAAGTAAAACTGGTCACATATCATGTACCAAGGTGTAGCAATTTATAGCACTTTATCAGCACGGCGTATTTAATGTTAGTTTATAGCATGGAAATTAAAATTAAAACTAGTAGAACAAGTATACTTTCTTCACGCTTGCTAGTTAGACCGTTAGTTGACGTTTCGGAAGGGAGCTCTCGCCAGGTTGCACCTGTATCTCTTCGTACTCCTCCTTATGATGGGCACTATGTCGATACAAGGCTCTGCTGCCGAAGGGGGGGGGTTGAACCACGGTGCTTTAAATACATCATCTTGTGTAAATGGGAAGCGTTACGACGCCTGGACATCGTAGCCGGTATCATTGCCATGGCCGCCCTTTTTAAGTACACGCCTATACATCTACAGCCTGTCGCCATCTGTGGCTTTGCCGACCGTGAGCTTGCCGACGCAAAATGATGCGATTCGACGAGCTTCAGCTTCGACTGTCTGGACGACGTCAAAACTCGTAAAACTTTACCTTTCAAGCTACAGCGGTAAATTTTCGAAGAGAATCGCACTCAATCGCTAGATGTGCAAAGTGCGCATCGCTGTCCAAGCCCGCTAGCTTTCGTCCGAGTTTGCACGCACCCATTTCCACCTTTCCAAATGGATAAAATGGCGGGGTAGTGGGCGCTGCGAAAGCTTGTTGCTGATCCGGGAAACATTACGGATCTGAAGGCCCTAACGGAAGACTTGTGGTTGACATTTAAGCCTCCGCAAGATGAGCATCACCATCGCTCGGCCATTCTCACGCTTAATCAAGCTGCCGGTCAATGTTGAATTGCGTTCAGTTGGCTCGACACGTAGCATAAATGCATCGTCTCGAATCCAGTTGATGCGATGGCGTAAGTCCACGATATCGCCCCGGGTATGAACGATAATTATAAGCGTTTGTACTGACGCATAAGCCTTTTTTGTTGCTCGATGAGCCATTCACTCTCGCGCTGCATAAATACTTGAGTATCGAGGCTTAACCAGTAGAACGCTTGTCCCACCATCTCGCCGCTTGAGAACCTGAGTCCATGGAGATTGACGCGATTAAGCGCAATCCTCTCCCACGTCTTACT